ATATACTAGAGTTCACTGTGCCTGTAGACCAATGTATTTAATATTATCGATCTAAAAAAAAAAAACTTTATGTAAAATAGCTTGATAAGAGATTGATAAAGCCGCTAAGTTATGAAGCTTTTTAATTTTCATACCTTTTCAGAAGCGAGTGGAGCAGATTTTGTAGTTTGGCATTCAATATTCATACAACCCGTTAAAGAATTTCCCTGAAGTGTACAAATGAGCGAGCACGCCAAAGTCATTACTTTGATAAGATATTGAATTTAGCGTCCGATGATAAACGACAAAACAATACTCCATCAAATCAAAGTTTCGTCAACGCCACCAGCCACAGCTAATCAGCCGCAGCCAACACTGCCGTCGTCGTCGTCATTATCGTCGCGGTTTTCTTCCTACGCAGTCAGCTTAGCTTAAGTCACAAGTTACGAAACATTGGTCAGTGGAAATCCAAGAAGAGGATAAAAGCTAAAAGTCCTTGTGTTACGAGTGGTGCAGTATAGCATTTATAACATTTTATTCATGAAAAGCAACAGACGTCATGGCATCTTCTAATGTCAATACAGGCTTTGCCAAATGCTTTATTGCATTCATGGCCATTGTGATATTGGTAAATATTCTCAGTTATTAGCAGTTAGCCAGTTGAACTGAGTTACATACATACATTCAATTTAAGTTATTTGCAAAATACTTTTTGAGTAATCCCTATGAAATAATCTAATTTTCGGGAAAATCAAACGCCAATAAATGCCTTTGTATCTTTTTTGTCAAAAAAAAAAATTAAATTCCATTCGTCATAAATGTTTGGTAGTGTTATTAATGTGAATCACGTTATCATATCTACATACATACATATATTTTTAACCATGTTTGTATATATGTATGTAGTAAGTAAGGAGATTCACATTTCCGCATACATATATGTACATTAGACTACATCACCAAAAAATTTGCGGTTTTTCGGCCGGGATTACAAAATCTATTATACTTTAAGACTCCCATCCAAGGTACATTGAACAGGTAGTATCAGTAGAGCAGCTGATTTGATTTATTTTCAAATTATTTGGTCTCGAAAATGTCAAATATTTTTAATTTTTTCTCACAAAAATTCTGAATTGTTAAAATCCATTTGCATGTGAAACCTTTTTCCATACAAAACTAGCGATTGAATAGCAGCTTTTGGAACGTTCGCCCAACTCAGCAGCACAACCGCTGATTACTGGCCCTTGTAAAGGATGGATCAATGCTTCGAGAAGCAAACAAATTTACTAGGAAAGAAAGTTGCATCAATTTTTATTTTTTCCAATTTCAATTTTTTATTTTTTATAATTTTTTGTATTTCACATGGCACGCTTTGATTTAGAAGAAAAAATTCAGAACAGTTTTTGACACTTTCGATACCAGAAGCAACAACAAAATACACGCAAATGTTGTTTTTGCTCTACTGATACTACCTGTTTAATGTGCCTTGCTCCCATCAAAATATTTGGGAGAGGTATCAATGGAAAGGTATTTTCTCACCCTTTTTATTTCTTAAAAAGAAAAACTCATTCACATCCCTATTTTTTCTTTATCAAATACCAACACATCGTAATTCAACATGGAATGAGGCTCGTTTGTCTTACCTTTCTCTTTCATACTTTGAATGAGCTTATTTGTAAAGAAATAAGGGTGGGCAAATTCCTTTCCAATGATACCTCATAAGTCCCCTTTCAGACACGTCAAGTCTTGCTTTCAAGTCTGCTCGTTCGTAGGCGAAGGAGGTGAGAAGAGAGGGGAAGAGTACAGATACCTCCGTACCGTCAATTCGTTTCAAGTTTTCTTGTCTCTTTTTATCTTTTCGTTGCTTCCCATTGAAAGAACCAAGGACTTCAATTCAATTAAAGTTGACGCGGGTGGAAGCAAATAGAAAACACAAAAGAGAATGCGAAAAAAATTGCTTTCAAGACTTGACGTGTCTGAAAGGGGACTAAGACTGAATGGGTACAGTTTAGGCTGAGTTATTAAATTTTTTCTTAAACCAGTCTTTGAAAAAAGTTCAAAAACAACATCAAAAATCTCATTATTATGATTCCCTTGAACATTTTTTAAATATTTTTAAGCCTAAACTGTTTTGTCATCTGAGGTGATTTTTTGCAAAAAATAATTTAAAAAACTGTTTTTATTCACAGAAAACTCACTGTTTGGAGGTATTTTCAAATCGGTCCAGCTCACGTAAATCTTAATATTTTTCCGAAATATTTTGGTCCAAGTCTTAAAATATAATAGATTTAATGATTTCGGTGGAAAAACAGTACCGATATTTTTTTTGTATGGGGAGTGATGCAGTCTAATGTACATATATGTATACACTTACATACATACATGTCTATATGTACTACGCGCATATATTTATACTTTTTCAGCTCCAAGGTTGTATTTATCTTGCTTTAGCATTATATGGAATCACCCGGGAAAGCTGCCAGACGGAAGGAGCAACAGACGTATCTAAGAACCCTTTTGATTTCGTAATGAAACTGGTTTATTTCCAAAGTACGTTTTTTATACTAAGATATGTAGTATGTGGGTAGACGAGTTTAAAGAGCGGTTTAAACTAGAACTTCAAAAGATATCAATTTTCTCACAGCAAGATCCCGAGGATCAACTGGATTCGATCATATACATATCGTCGGTGATACTGCAAAACGGTCTATGTCTATTAGTACCCTTGACACTTAGATGGTCTCTTACTTGCACCGGAATGCATCTGCAAACCGTTACACCCTAATAAATGAATGACAAAACTGTCTTCCTTTGGCTGACGAAGATGGACGATTGCCAGAAGCGGTCAGATACAGATAACAGATCAATTAAGCACCAGAGGTAATAAGTGACATAGAACGTTTTGCAGTGTCACCGACGATATGCACATACATACATATATGTTTCATATGCACATACAAACATATACTCAATACTCCCTCTCTGCAATTTTCATAAAAACTAGTTTCTGACCTTTGAACTTACATGCGAGTTAAAGGCTGAATTAGTGGTGCCATACCATAGCCATAACCGTAGGTATCTATTTTATTTTAGTTTTTCGCCATAACCATAAGCAGCCCTGAAGTATTTTGCTACCTTATGGCTTGGGCATCTTCAAATGGAAATGGTTAAGTTATCTTTAGAAATTTTGCAATTTATTTTAAAATGGCATTCAATCGTTAGTGTATATTTTTCCATATTTTGCTGTAAATGCATGTTTTTGCATATTATTTGATCATATTTTACAATAAATGCGTGTGGTTTTTGCATATTTTTGCCTTTTTTGATCTGCAATAAATAAATTTTGTGGAAAATATTTTGAAAAGAATTACCTATAATTTTCCCAAATAATGAATATGAAGATAGCCAAGCGGCCATTAAGGCACTCTCTTCTTCCCCTGTTAGATCTCCACTAGAGTAGGATTTTGGGAGAGAGCTGGTCTATATCTCTGATCAATACGAAATTACCTTTATATGGGTCCCGTAACCCCCCGGGAACCGACCTAGAGATAGACGAAAAGTACAGTTTGGCAGTGACAGGGTGGTGTTGCTTTGTAATTCAATCAAAAAAAATTAAAAAAACGCCACCCTGTAAATGTCCCAATCGCTTGG